ACTGGATCGAAAGTAAACGTTTGCGACTACTGAAGAAAGAGGATGGAGGGTCAACAATTAGGGGCTTGAAAATGGGAGGATAATAGTGAAGTTGGAAAAGAACGATAAGGATCAAAAAGCGCCAGAGGGGGGAATAAGAAGACAGGAAGGTCTGGACAGTATCATCCTCACCCCTATCCACCGTGCTCGATGCAGAGATAAAGCGTTGTTGATTAACATCTGCGACGGTTAGAATATCATGAAACCTTTTGAAAAGGACTTCAATTTATTGCACGGGAAGGATGTAGGCCTAGAATAGAGAACGATGACGGTACTAAACCAAAGCATAGAGTTTAAGGACATGGGACGTGAGGTGAACAACTGTTTTCAGTGATTCCTTTTCAGACATGTTCAATCGCATAAAGAAACTGGCAATGGGAGTACAACCAGTCAGAGTAATTCAAATGAAACTAATCACGTGCCGGCCAGCTTCGTGAGCTAACGAGCAAACTAAGCCGAAGCATTTGCGTTTACCATCCAGCGCGACTGGCATAAGCGCAATACAACAGGCGTTTGGCAATCGGCTACGGAGAGTCTGTTTTATAGAGTAAGGAATCACTCTCACTACAACCCCAACCTGGATGTCCAAAAGACTGAATGTGTTTGGTCTTGAGTTATTGAGCAACTTGGTATCAGTGGTTCTGAAGGAGTAAAAACACCACCCAGCGTAGCTCGACGAATCGTTGAGGCACGCAAAAAATTGCACGACGCTAAGGTAAAGCTTAGTCGTGATGGCATCCAAGAGGAAGAAGCAGAGAAAGGTGCATAAGTACTAATGAAAGATCAAACAGTACTTGCCCGAACATTGGAGACCCTCTCGGTCGATATCTGCTGCTTATCGGAGACCCGCCTGCAAGACTCGAGCTCTGTACTCACTCTGCGATCCCCTTCAGGTGACACTAGCAGCACTTTCTCATTGCGCCTATCCGGCGATGATGCAGCTACGAGCACCGGCCAAGCTGGTGTTGGTATTGCCATGAGTCCACGGGCTGAAGCTACTCTGGTTGATTGGATTCCAATTAGTAGTCGGATGTGTGCGGTCCGATTGGCTGGCTCGTTCAAAGCTTCGAAGTCCGGTGAGAATAACAGGTGTGTATTCGTTATCGTTGTCTATTCAACGACAAACTGTAGCGATGACTCAGTAAAAGACGACTTCTATCGTCAACTGAACGAGCTCCTTAGCCACAGAAGAAGCACGGACACTGTAGTGCTGGCTGGGGATCTGAACGCTCAAGCTGGAAAATTATCCACAGATGAGTTGCATCTGGGCGGCCAACATGGTGTAGGTTCACGTAATGATAACGGTGAGCGGTTACTTCATTTGTGTGAGGATGCTCGCTTATTTCTTGCGAGCACTAATTTCAGACACAGCACCCGCCAGAGGGTGACTTGGCGCCCACCAGTCTCGAACCAGCTATGGACGCAAATCGATCACATTGCGATAAGTTACCGCTGGAGAGGCTGCATTCAGAACTGTCGCTCGATATGGAGCACAGGTCTGGACACCGACCATGCACTTGTATGTGCTGACCTGCGGATGGGTTTTGGCGGACGCCCACGACGACGTTGTGAGCGCATTGACACCAGCCAACTGACAAAGCCAGCTGTTCTGAATGCCTATCAAAGTACGCTGTCATGCGAGTTGGATAAACGCTCACTGGATGCAATTGAAGCTCACTGGTCTCATATTCACCAGACCTTACTAGCAGCAGGAAAATCCTCATGTGGTGTGTCTAATCGCCAACATGGACAGTGGGTCTCTTCACAGTCTCTGGAACTTATAGATGCTCGCCGGCATATTCCGGCTGGAAGCGAACACAATGAGACTCGCAAAGAGCTCCGGGCAAAACTCCGAGCTAACCTGAAGGGAGACCGCGAATCCTGGTGGTCTCATCGTGCATCAGTGATGGAAATGACCGCTGCCCTTGGTAACCATAGTAAGTTATTCCGTCTGATAGGGGAAACGGGAAGCAGGAAACCCGGTGTTAGTGAAAAGATACGTGATGAGAGTGGACAGCCTATCCACAACTTATCGAAACGCTTAGGGCGTTGGGCTGAACACTTTAAAAGGCAATTTAATCGGTCGGAATGGTTAGATTTCTCGCCGGCCACTGATCGCCCCGCTCCCAGGGCTGTCCCTTTGGATCCACCCTCTCGTTCAGAAATCAAACGTGAGATCGAACTGTTGAAGTTAAATAAAGCCGCGGGACCAGATGATCTTCCTCCAGCCCTCTTCAAATTCGGGGGACCTGCTCTTGTGGACGATTTACACGAGTTACTAGTCAAACTGTGGGATCAGGAAACTGTCCCAACCAATTGGAGCCGCTCCGTCATAGTCCCAATTTTCAAAGGAGCCTCACGATCGGAATGCGGCGGCAATAAAGGAATCAGTCTGATCTCCATCGCCTCCAAATGGCTTGCCGCTGTCATCCATCACAGACTGACTGGCACGCGTGAAAGCCAGATTCGTGAAGAGTAAGCCGGATTTCGTCGAGATCGTGGCTGCATTGACCACATCTTCACATTGCGTCAGTTGTTGGAGCACCGTCACATATATTGGCGGCCCACCGTTGTCGTGTTCCTCGATATCAAAGATGCATTCGATTCGGTGGATAGACATGCAATTTGGGACTGTCTACTCAGGAAAGGTGCACCTGAGAAATATGTAAATGTTATTCGAGCATTATTTTCTCGTAGCTCAGGCTGAGTGAGAGCTTACGGCAAGTTGTCGTCGCCCTTTAATATCACCAGCCGCGTGAGACAAGGATGCCCGCTGTCACCTTTCCTCTTCAACTTTGCTATTGACGAAGTCATGGAAATCGCGTTTACAGGACACGACTTAGAAGGTGTGGAGCTACTCCCAGGAGAACGACTTCTTGACTTGGAGTATGCTGATGATATTGCCCTAATCTGTGACGGCTCACAAATGTGCCAAGCGGCACTGGACAGATTAGAACTAGCTGTCCGTCAGTTCGATCTTTGCTTCGCACTCTCGAAGTGCAAAGCGTTCCTCCAAGATTGGCATCGACTGCCTCCTATGCTGACCTTTGTTGGGGATCAGCTAGAAGTCGTTCAAAAATTCAACTACCTGGGAAGTTGTATCAGCGCCCGTGGGATTGAAGATGAGATCACGAACCGTATAGCAAAACCTCGGGGCGCTTTTGCTAACCTTCGCCACTTATGGCGCCGGCGCGACATCACTCTTGCCCTGAAGGGTAGAGTGTACAATGCAGCGGTACATTCGACCCTTCTGTACGGTTGTGAAACATGGTCGCTTAAAGCAGCGGACCTGAAGAGGCTAGTTACGTTTGACCATCCGTGCCTTCGTAATTTAGCTCACATCTGGTGGGAACACCGCGTGAGCAACGAACGTGTTCGACGCCTTGTTTATGGCACAGGAAAAGGAACTGAACCGCTCAGCAACGTTATTTCACGCACCAGGCTCCGATGGCTGGGCCACGTGTAACGCATGCCAGCCCACCGACTCCCGCGACGTGCGTTGTTTGCGCGCAGGGGGTGTGGATGGAAGAAGAGGAGAGGTGGCCAAGAGATGACTTGGTCCAGAGGAATGAAGGCCCTCACTTCTGAGCTGGCCTCGGTTTGAACGTCTCGGCTCCCTGGTTGGGGTCCGAAAGACGATGAACACGTTTGTTGGACACACTTGCTGATATGGCTAGGAGCCGTCCTCAGTGGCGTTCATGCTGTGAGTTTCTTTGTCCCTTCCCATCCCTCTTAGCCTCCCCTCCAATCACGATCTCATTATTTAGCCTTATATAATTTTGCATAGTAATTTGTTTTTGATGCACAGTCGCCGGCTGGTAGCTTACCGGAACGATGCCCATCCGTTACCGGTAGCTCAGCTAGCTTGCACCAGCTGAATTTTTTCTCCTTTCTTTCTATGTATTGCGGCACAGTGGCTGAGGTGTTCTCCACCACTAGCTAACGTGTATGATGATGATGATGATGATGACTAATGAAAGATAGTGGATATATAATGATGCAAAATTCGTTCGAACTGCCGGAACCACTGAAATTAATGCTCGAGTTAAGTGACCGGGAGCGTGTACGAAAGGACATGTTGTGTTGCTATATCACATACAAATATGCATAAACCCAAGTGGTCTCCTTCTATATAGCCAAGATTTTAATGAGAAAACCGTATTTTTCCGGAAATGCAACCTCACAAACGTTAGGGTGCGTGAGAAATATGTGAAATGGAGAATGCTGGTATGGTGTGACTAAAATATTACCTCAACCTAATCTCCATTTCGATCCAAGTGAAATCAAACACGTCACCCGGGTTAGCATGCATCGGCTGTTGCCAACAGCCGACGGCTTAAACACCCGAAAACTGATGTTTATCGACTATCTTCCACCCGTTCGCACGGGCCTAGTTCATGCCGCGTAGAGGGGGGGGGTCCTCGCGGTATCCTCAGCCAGTGTGCGACTGGTGGTGGTCGCACGGCAGCGAAGCGCCGTTACGGCGTACAGCTGATACATTACATTTACGACTTACTTGGGCTCGATTGGAAGCATTTGGATGAGATTTGGTTGTTTCATTCCTGTGGTTGGAAACCGATTTCCTCCTTACCGAAATCCGCGACGTGCCGGTATGACAAACACCAAGTCTGTGGACCCGATATAGTCATGACAGATAAATAGGGAGAACTAGTCACGTGTCGGCACTTGAGCCTCGGCAGGATAGCCGAAGCTGGATAAATTCCGATACGTGAAACCCGTACAATGCTCAAAATAAAATAGTTCTGGGATATAAGTATACATGGATCATAAAGAAAAAGATGTAACGTTTAGTAGAGAAATTAAGATAGTCACCTTTACAACAAGAGGTTGTGCTACCGATTGGTAAACGGTGAGTAAACGCAAAAGAATGTTATCAACCATAAACAACCGGGCGGAAGAATCACAAATCATATGGGCAAAGAATGTGGAAAGATATATACCTTAGCTTGTTCCACAAACCGTTGTCGCTGAACCACGGGATCGTTTAGTTCAGTATACGCATTGCAAATCTCTTTAGATAAGATAAACAATTCGAATCGCTCCGTTAGGCCTGGGCGAGACCGATGCCACTTCGCCAAGGGGCTCATTACAGTCGGATGACAAATGAGGAAGGTTGGGTTGACACAATCCGGTTCCAGGAATACACCAGCTAACTGAACACACAAAAAGACAAACGGTTTAAAAACAGAGAAGAGACTATGGGTTAAGTGTGCATGACACTATCACAGATAAGACCAATCACGAGTATAAAATGAATGAAATATTCGCTGCGGTATAAACCACTAAAATACCTTTATCAAAGTTCAGGTGGCGGTGCCTGAGTCAGCATAATAATAATAATAATAATAATAATAATAATAAGAGATTAAACGTACATAAATGCTACTGGGACAAAAGCAAATCTGCCACTCGGTTCCTGTTCTTGGTAAACAGTAAACGACCAAGCTGAGGGTTTTAAGCAGTTCCGAGGTAATGGCACTGCCATCTGGTAGTGAACACTGATAACCAAGGGTTAAAGGTGTCGCTTTTGCGTGACACATGCTGTAGAAAATGGGCCATATTATAGGCCGTTTCATCATTTTACCTCAGTGACGATGAGAATAATGCATTCCGTTCCGCTTCAACAGCACAAATTGGTGACGGTTATGGATGGAGTGAGTCGTGACGCCAGTCTCTAGTAATGGCTCCAGAGAGCCGACAAAATGGGGGCACGGACGGTCGGCCGAGCTGTCCTTCCTAATATACTGCTTATTAGTTAAATAAAAGGACAAGAGAGGTGATCACCTGATTCTGATTGACCGCAGGTGCTGGGATTTGTGCATGATATCGTGATTGTTGCCGGTGACATGTATGCCCAAGTGGGTCGTCTTTCAGCCTGTGCAACACGTAGACAGCAGCTTCAGAGTCGATGCACGCCGAGGAGACAATGGTGATCTATTCCTGAAACTGTGCGTCGACCACAATCTTTACATCAGCAGCACCACTTTCCGGCACAAACGTTCACATCGTGTCAGCTGGCACCCACCGAATTCCTCAATTACCTGGAACAAAATTGGCAATATTGCCATAGCTACAGATGGCGCACAGCTCAAGATTGTCGGTCAATTTGAGGTACGTGCCTGGATTTTGACCATGTTTAAGTGCGCGCACGTTTGGCGCCCACTATTCCCACTTCAAACAAGCGCGTATCTTCTAATTTTCGTACTTTTAACTTTAATCCGCAATCTGCCGTTCAGCAATATCATGTTAAACTGGTCCACTAATTGTTAGTGATGAATGAAGTTGGTGAACCGAACGCTGGCTAGGATCGTCTCCAATGTGCCATGAAAAATGCCTTTGACGTATGCTGTGCACGTAACTTGGGACGTCGTAATTGAGAGAATGGATCTGAGGCATCGATCAGCTTTATCAAAGCAAGGAAACAAGTTCTGATGTGCACTGAGTTTCAGCGTGTCCGTAACTCCCTGAAAGGACATCAGACAAGGAGTCTTCGAACCGACCGGGAAGGTTGATGGATAGCAAGGGCCCATGAGATGGAGAAGGCCAGTGCTGTTGGCAACAGCCGAGTGCTATTACAGCTCATCCTGAGCACGGGCCAGAGAAACCCATCAGTTAGCGAGACATCAGCTGAGTAAGCTGGACAGTGGATGCATTCTCAACGTCGTCGACTAGCCCGTTAGACGGAACATTTTGAAGAGCATTTCCGTAGGTCTGCTGCAACACTGCCGCTGGCCGAATCGCCCGAGCCGACGTAGGAAGTAGATGTGACACCTCCCACTGTGGAAGAGATTCGAAGTGAACTTTCCGTGTTGGAAAGATACAAGACTCTCGGACCAGACGACCTTCCATTATTCCTGCTGAAAAATGGTGGTGACTCTATGTTGACTGGACTCTCATCGCCATTTAACACGATTTGGAACACTGCACAGGTGCCTTCAGACTGGCACCTGTCGACTGTCGTGTCCATCTTCAAGAAGCGTTAGCGCATTTTGTGGGAAAATCATTGAGGCATAAACTTTGTTTCTTTTGCACCCAAACTTCCTACGGGTATCATTCTCCGACGAGTCCCCGCGAGAACCGAATCACTGAAAACCAGGCTGGCTTCCGCCCTGGTCGTGGTCACCAAGTTTTAGAGCACAGTCACATACAGATGATCGACTATGGTGGTTTTCTTTGACTGGAAAGCTGCCTTGGATTCAGCTGACAGCGCCAGCTTGTGGTATTGCTTATCCACGAAGGGCTTGTCGGTTAAATTCCTTTCCATTATGCAGTCTCTCTACAGTGACTGCTGAGGCTAAAGGTCTAAGAGAAACTGTCTTCTGAGTTCTCCACGACAAATGGTGTTCATCAAGGATGTACTATATCTCCTTTCCTCTTGAACTTTGTTATCCAAATGATCATGCGTGACTGTGTCCTTCCAGACTCTACCGGAGTGGAAGTTCTGCAAGGTGATCAACTTAGAAACTTGGAGTATGCGGACGACATAGCTCTTCTTGGGTCTGACGCAGTGGCTATGCAAAATCTATTGGATAGATTGACGCGTAGCGCTGCACGCTTCGGCATGTGTTTTGCACCTTCAAAGTACAAAGTACTGCTGCAGGACCGGATCGGCACACCTCCAGTTCTAGCTATCACCATACAGCCACTGGAACTGGTGGATCGGTTCACTTACGTTGGTAGCTGTGTATCACAACTTTTGGTCACATTCCTGAGGAGATTATTTCGCGTACAAGCAATGCCTGTGTGTCTTTCCATAGACTCAATCATCTATGGAGACGGCGGGATATCAGCCTGTCAGCAAAAGGCAGGGTGTATAATGCTCCGGTAAGGCCAGTCCTACTGTATGGAGCAGAGATCTAGCAAGCACGGCGAAGACCTTAAACGCTTGGCTGTGTTTGACCACCGGTGCTTGCGGTGTATTGCCCAAGTCTGGTGGGAACACCAGGTAAGCAACGCCGAAGTCCGCCAGTTGGTTTTTGGCAAGAAGCCTTCTGGTGCTTCTCTCGAGTGTTTTCTGAATCTTAATCGCTTACATCGGCTAGGTCATGTCCTCCATATACCCATTGACCGGCTTTCTCGTCGTTCATTATACGTCGTGGCTGCACCAAGTTGGCCGAAACCGCGAGGTGGCTAGTCCATGAGGTGACATAGAAGCATGAAAAAACTGTCTGAGAGACTTCGTCAGAGTGATGGGTGCCGTCTTCGTGTAGGAGAGCCTCGGGATGGTCCACATCAATGTTTGGAGATCGTATCAGACATGGCGCAGTCACGCAGTCAGCGGTGTAACTGCATTCGGTTTCTGTCGTCTGGTTGTTAACTTTCGTTTCATACAGATTAATTTAATGCACTTCCTTCTTGCTGCCATTTTCCTTACATTCTATTTATATTTAACCCACTATCTTGAAGTTAGAACAAATGTTAGCGAACAAGCCTGTTTTCAGTGGTTCCTCGTCAGGCTAATACACCACAAATGAATGGCATGAACGTAAACATCAGCTAAGAGTACAGGTTCAAAACCCAGATGGTCTGAGTGACCAAGCTAGGGGATTGGCCCCACGGCGACCAATAGTTGTGTGTGTGTGTGTGTGTGTGTGTGGCGTTGTTCACACTGTGTCCGTGTTACAGGAGACCAGGGTAGGTCAGGGTTATAAAGCCTGATTGCTATCGTCTCGACCGTCTTGTGTGGTATCTGGGTACGCGGTAGATGGGCTGGAACGTCTCATGCGCTCTGACTTGATGGCTCCAGTCGATCAGGTGTGTAGACACTAAGGTTGCCATTGATCTAGTCACGCTGCTATACAGCCAAGCTGGACAGTGTTCCCTGCCTCTCTCGGACGGTCTCCTGGTAGTTCTTCCGATATATCTTAGTCGACAAGAGCAAGAGGGTACACAGAATGAAGTACTTGACCTTGGAATTCTGTCCTTAAGATGTTGATTCAGGGTCGGCACTGAGTAGAAGCTTAGCCGTAGGCTTGCTGCATAGTACGTTTGGGCGATTGCGGCAGAAAGCCTTCTAGACGTTGATTCAGCTATCCCGTCCCCCTTGAACAGCAACGATAAGTAGATCGGTTTCTTTTCTACTGAATACACTTTTGCCTTCGCTTCTCGTACCTCGGTCTCCCCGAACGAACCTCTCAGATAGCCATTTCTATCAAATAGGCTTCGAACAAAGTTTAACTCGTCCGAAAGCATGTCCTCGCTACATATCCTTCTTGCTGGCTCCGTTAGGCACTTTCCGTTTCTGGCTGAGCGGAACGAAGCTGGCAAAATGAGTATATTGCCTTTTCCACATTTCCTTTCTACGTACACTGCGCTGGATAGACCCATCAGATTTTCGGCTAATCTGAACGTCTAAGTACGACATTGAGCTGTTGCACTCAGATTCAGGGGTGCAAGTTATTTTGTCGTCAGCTGGGTTAAACTGCCTCACTAATTCATCCGTGCATAGATGACTATCTGAGATGCAGAATATATCGTCCACATACCGTCCGTAATAGACTAATTTGTCGATAAGTCGGTTTAGATAGTCGTTCTCTAAGTTACTCATAAATACGTCTGCCAACAATGGTCCTAACGGAGAGCCCATTGCGACTCCGTCCTTCTGTCTGTAGATCTTCCCGTCGAACAGGAATTGTACGTTCCTGGTACACATCAGAAGCAACTGTTTAAGTCGCTCGTTCGAGAGTCCGACATCCACATGATGCAATCGAACAGCGTCGCAAAGGTAGTCTATCGTCTCCTCCAGCGGAACATTAGTGAAGAGCGACATTACATCTAGAGAAAACATTTTCCTTCCGGTTAACTGCATATGGCTTATGGAGTCTACGAAGCTGAATGTATCTCTGAGGCTGTGTCTGGATAGGACTTTCCTGATCGGTTCTAGAAGCTTAGTGAGCCATTTCGCTGTTGAGTGATATGGAGAATCACACATGTTTAATATTTGCCTCAATGGAAGTTCTTCTTTATGCACTTTCGGTAAGCGATAAAGACGTGGAATCACTGTCCCAGAGAAACGCGTGTACTCGAAAACCACTGAGTCAATCGCATTCTCTTGCTTCAGGCAGTGTAGCAGCATTGTGACTGCCTTTTCTATCGAGGCCGTTTTGTCTTTCTCTTTCTCCATCATCCGGGATTTAGAATGACCGTTGAGGATGGCATTCAGCGACATAGTCAGATTTATCCATAAGAACAATCCCTGCTACTTTATCCGGCCTAGAGAGCAGCACATTTTCGTTCCGTTTAAGCGCTTTGACGGCGTCTAAGTGTTTTGAACCTGTACTCTTTTCGTTCATGTCATTCATTTGTGGTGTATTAGCCTGATGAAAAACCACTGAAAACGAGCTTGTTCGCTAACATTTGTTCTGAAGTCTACTCCCGGGATATTTTATCAGTTAGAGATATCATCCGAAAGGATAAAACCGCAACGGCCGCAGTGCTCCTGCCTTACGCCATTTGCGCTTGGTCGTCAGCCGACAAAGTACATTAGTATTACTCACTTTTTCGCGTTTATTTTCTGCTGCAGTATTTACGCTCTCTTATTTTCCTACGACTGATAATCCTTAAGGCTCCGGTGGTACGAGTGACGCCAACTAAAGCACAAATAGGCGCTTGGATCAGTTAAAGAAAATACTAAAAGCAACGGGACACAGACGGCTGGTTATCGTGTGAAGTAGTCTCATCTGCAAACCATCATTCCATCGGTTTCCGTAGACCTAGGAAATTCGCAAAGCAACTGATATCTGATCTTGGCTTACACTTGGGTGACAAAGGCAAAAGAAAAATGGGCTGACATGTACTCTTGAAAAGAGAAACATAGATCTTTAAAACCCACGTGAGGTCAACCAAAGACTAACCTTATCCAAAAGACGTGCGGTAGTTTTTGGCTCTGGACAATCAACCCCCTTTTCAGCAGCAAGCTTAATGAAGAATTCATTCGCTTCCGTCGTATCCAAAGTTTGAGGCGGGGGAAAAGTTACGCCCAACTTCGTGCTCAAACCGTCATAAATGTCTACACGCTTGAAAGGAGGGGTGAAATCAAGCGTTATCGGCTCCGAATCGGCTCCGTCAGGGTGATACGTGAAAGTATAAGAGCCGAAAAGGTAATTCACAAGACCTGAAGTGAGAAAATTCAATAAACTTCACATGTTAATTCAATTCAGCATGCGTAAGAATAGTTTGTGGGGGATAGCCTCCAGATAGGTGAGCGTTTTATGTACTCTGAAGGAGGAATCAAAACAAGCTGCATCTTTGAAATTCTTAGAGGAAATATTTCAGTGTGATAATTCAAAATACGTAACATCTGACTATTCTCAATCACAGACTTGCAGAAGTTAAAGGAAATGGAAACATGAATGTGAGCGGTGGTTCATCTACACAGAAGCAACACTGCCAAACCCTAGAAAGCTGTAGAGGTAAAGACTGTCGTTTTACATAGAGTGGCATAAAATTAACAAGAAAATGGAAGGAGGACTGGAAAATCTAATGATCCAAGCAAACTAGATTTGAGTCACCAAAGAGTAAGTGAAAAGTTCTTCATATGTCAACAATTTTGAATATTTTGAATGCGGAGTGGGGTGAGGTGCGGTCGAAAATACAGAATGAACAGATAGGAGAAGCAAGCAACTCTACAATACGAGCCAAGGAATATCTTATGAATTTAGCATAGAGAGATCAACAGGGAAACGGATATAACTAATTGGTAATTGCTGATGCTGATTTGCCTTGACTTTGTGAGTAAAAATATTAATTTAATTGATCCAATTATTGTACCCAAGCCATGGACTAATGACACAATAAGTTAAACGAATTCAAGTGGCTCGGCTGAAATACAGCCTCTTTTAGACATTTAAGGGATTATAGCATTCATTCGTAAGCAATTAAAGACTGAATAAGGTTTTTGTTCAGGATACTACCCGCTTCCGTTAAAAGGCTGTAGGACGTATTTCGTTCATGGTTGACTATTAGTGTGAGGATAGCTGGAGCCGAGGATACGCTCTGCGTTCGAAATCAACGAGCGCCAAGTTGGGTCCAAGTTGAAGCTGCGTGTCGCGACGCGCAAACAAAGTGGGCAATCCAAAAACCCAACAACGTGGTCGAAGAAAGTTAAACAGAAATTGACCACAGAGCGTGATTGAGACAAGAAAGTGGTGGAGATACGATCAAGTGAATACAAAATTGGAATATTTAAAACACATTAATTTTCACCCATCAGCAGCCAAGCAAACTTAGATGCAAAAACCGCAAAACTGAATTCGTCGAAAGCATGCCGTTTAGCGAACGCCTAAGAATAAGGTGAACAACCGGAAAGGATAGAAAATTGAGTGCATTAGCACCAATGAGAACATTTGATGAGGAAATACCAAAGGTAAAACAGTTATAAACAACCTAGTCATTCCGACTTCTAGTCGAAACGGACGAAACGCGTTTCACCCCAGGCACAGAGTAGTCAAATGAATTAGGATCAACCCAGGCTAAATGACCTAGTCGAAGAAACCAAGCTTGCTAGTCACGAAGGTGGCTTGCACCAGTGCTGATCAGTTTGTGAAAAGTGGCAACAGTAACTGAGAGGCGCTGGAGAGCAAACTGGTCGATGTATGAATGCTGCATGTGGATGTGAGCCCCGCTCAACAATTGGGACTATAACGGGGCAGCTCCGCTCGGTTGAGATAGTTCACCATTGCTTAAACACATAATTAAAAAAACCACCTTTCGTATTTAGGGACGCCAGTGACAGCCGCAAAAAAGACGACAGTTGACCAAAGCCACGCATCCCACCGCAGCACCCAATAGTCTCCTTCCATAATACCCACCTATCAGGACATGCAATCCGGTCTCCTCGATCGCGTTCAACTTTCGGACCGGCGCCATGTTTTCAAAACTAAAATTCATATTTCGCATTGGATCATCGAACTAACTACACCAAGTTTCTACCCCAACTATTGGTTGAACGCGACCGGCAGTGTTGACACGGTAACCATGGGTCAAGCTGAAGTGGGCATCGTTTTCAGCTCCATAGCTGAACGATCGCTGATTGATTGGATTCCCGTGAAAAGTCGCCCGTGTGCCGTTCACCAGCCAATATTAACTAAGGTCAGCGAGCGACGCGACACGGCGCAGTGACAGCTACTGCATGTTCTTGTTCCAAGTGATCGTAGTGAACAAGGTTTACTTCAATGTGAATCGCGATCTACACTGAGATTGCGCGTCGCAATCCAACCACACAACGTGTAATCCAAATGGCCCTCCAGTCAGCCAGTAACCGTTGTGTCAAGGGTTGCCCGTCGTGACCCGGTAGCTAAAGGGGTAGAGGTTTCGGATACTTCTGATAAAATTATATCGAAACGCGTTGTGGTTGTGAAGTGTTTGCGGGCGGGTAACGTCCAATTTCCATTTGGTTCTTGTTCCTTGTCTAATCACCAACCAGTCGCATGTAGGTGCCTTCTAAAATGAAGTTGGCACCCTAATACGCAGTGCCCTGGCTCAGATGTGACTTCAGTTGCTGGTGTTATGAATGTTTAGGCAAATAGTCTAGGTTTCTCAGAAGATCAATTAGACGGCATGTTCATACTTATTCATGAACTATCGGATAATGATGAGTATTTGCGGTAGTCCATCGTCGGTCGTCTCTGGGTGGGGTCATCTCGGTTATAATGGACGGCTTGCCACTTGGTCTTCCTGAGTTCTTGCTGGTTCTTCCTGAGTTGCACTGAATATAGGACGTGTACAAACCTATGGAAGAAGCATATCACGCCACCAATAGTGCAGCTACAAATGCAGGTGTCCCGTCACGGATCGACGTCACGTGGAAATCAAGAATGCGAGCGGTATAGATGCCGACCAAGAACACGGAGTATCTACACCGCAGCGCGCGCTGAGCTTAGTTGAGGTTGGATATTAGACTACACATGGGAATCCGATCAATCAGCAGTCGTTCAACTCCGGAGCTGAAAACGACACTCACTCCAGCTCGGCCCGTGGTTTCCGAGTAAACATCGCCGGTTGCGTTTAGCCAATAGCGGGAGGAGAAGCGTGGTGTGGTTAGTTCGACGATCGTATAGGAAATATGAATGCTAGTTGCAAAGATGCATCGCGCATCAACACTCATGGATTATAATGTGTGTCGTAGTGCAGCATGACCAAATACATTGAAATTTAAAGGCGCTAACAGCCCACCAGGATCTTATACCGACGATTCACTGACTTGCGATCATCCCTAATTACGTGCAGACTTGGGACAGTGTGAGCTCGACCGTACACCTAGGGAAGCTCGATCGGTGACCTATGTATGACAAAGCAGACATTTGAACTACTTGGCCACACACCGGTCCTGAGACAAAAGCGTCGAAAGCTGCGGGGGGATGAGGTAGTGGGTCCTGATAGGGAGGTATGAACAGAAGGAAATACAGGGGTACTGTAGTGAGACCGATGTCGATGGCAAAACATCGGCACTATCGAAGGTGCTATCCGCGGAAGAAATGTTTATGACTTGGGATCTGTAGGAGTGTGAAAAAGGAGAAAAATGAGAAACAGTAAAAAACAGAGAAAGCAGAGAGCTCATTCACTGAAAGCCTCGCAAACACTATATATACCAACGGCCCTGAAGATGAGGTAATACGGTGGTGCCCCATTTGCTCCTATGCCACACCGACACAAGGCCAGATGGGGCGTGAAAGTGCGGTTGGAAGCAGATCCCAGGAGACGGCTCCATGGGTAGCCGTATTAATTTAATTTTTAATAACCACGTTCATCTTACTCTCAACTTCTCCATCATTCCAACATTTTACCGATCGAACACTCCGAAAAATAATGTGGAAGCGCTTTGGGTAACCTGTATAAATATCTATTCTTTGTGATCCCGTCGTACCAAAGGAGCAGACCACCTAGTTAGACTGTATCTCGCACAGTCAAAAACATACAAATTATGTATGACAGAGCTACAGTTGTGGATGTGGGTGTGGATGAGCGGGCAAAAAGACTGCGATTCTTAATAAGGATTTTCGGTTACAAATCACAACCGCAGAAGCATGAGATGATCCATTTTCACAAAAATGACTGGCAAAATATTGATCTGGAGGATAAGAGGATGGGCAAGTTTGTCTCTGACGATTCATCATTTTGATAATGGTGTTCAAGGAAATCAAGACACCACGCAGTGTACTTTAATGAACGCACGCGCACTCGCGCGCGTGCATTGCCTATAATGGATTGGACCAGGGATCACCAAACTACGGCCCGCCAACCGAACCCGAATTTGGACACTCAAATTAGCCACACGATCACCCTAGCTCTCTGCTTATGGCCTTCGCACTAATGTACTTTAGATCGTTTCTTAGCATGAATAACTAAGATAAATCGCCAGTTGTACGTCGTCTGCAAACGACCACTACCAGTCGCGCGCGGATTGAGTATACCGCGAGGAGGTCCACCCTAGGCGGATTGCAACCGGTGACCTGGTTGCAAAACAGGCGCGCAGACCACTCAGCCACCGGTCGACCTATGGACCCTAATCCGAACACGTTCATGAAATAACACCACCGCAACTAATCCGTATTCAGGCCCTTCATGTCGGCACTTATGGTCGACATCGCATCCCACATGAATGAACTGAGTTAGAGACTACAGGGAAAGGGGAACCTCAGCTGTGATTTCTGTAGAGTCATCAACGGATTACGGAAAAAGATGCCAAGGTTTGAAGCACAAATGGAAGGAGAAACGTTTGCTCATTTTCACTGTTTTAAAAAGTTTTGTGCGACGATCCACGGAAATGCATCGCTTGATTTTCCTAGGACAACTATTCGTGATCTGAAGAGGCATACTTTTAGAGAGACTTTCAGATCTTCTTCTAAAATACGCTTGACTGTAACATTGTTGATGTTGTATTTAAACTACAGTTAGAGCTTATTGATTGACAATCAAACGACTTGTTGAAAAATAAGCACAGGGAAGGAAAACTGGCTGCATTTTACCCTTGCATAATTGAGGTTGAATTTCCGGAACTAAAGAAGTTTGCCGCTGGTATAGCATCGGTGTGTGGTACAATGTATGTCTGCGAGTAAACATTCACAAAAATGTAGCATGTGTAAGCAACACATCGAACGAGACAGACTGATGAACATTTGAAAACCATTCTGTTGATTGGGTGCAGCCATTTCAAACCAAACATTGATGTTTTGAAAGTTAAACCGCAGTTTCACAAACCTCACTAATCCTTTTCCAGCTTGCCTTGTGCCTTCCGGATGTGCGCACAAAATGTCTGTAACTACATTTTTGCGAAAGCCTCCCCCGTTGATTATTTTTAGTTAGTAAAGAGGTTGATTATTTTCGTTTTTTAGACTGCGTATCACTCATTCATGTTTAACCTGACATGCCAAAGTTAGTTTGTTATTTTAGTTGTTCAGCTTTCGTGTTGGCATGAGAATATTGTACAGAAATCTAACCCGGTCCGCGGTCTTCATTTTGTTGGCTATCCGGCCCGCAGTGAAAAAAGTTTGGTGACCTCTGGTTTGGACGAATATACGCAGTTGGAATGCTGACGAGCAATAGGCTCGTAGGTAACCTTCAACAAACCATACGTAAGGATACACGGGTCTTAACAGTTGGTAGGCTCTGTTGTGCTTTGGATGAGGCGTAGTGCGCACACAGGAATACAACAAGAGTAATACAAGAGGATACACATGGTTACACGGCAAAGATGTCACGGCAAAAAATACTTTGGCACTGCGGTTCAGGTCGGTGACGCTTACATGATGAAGTATACTTAGGGAATGTGATTGAAGTGCTCATATTCTTGGGATTCAACTGTGAGTATTTGAGGCGCATTAAAAATGAAAGCTGAACTGGAGGCAGAACTGCGCCATAAAGGGTTAAAGAAAAAGATGTGAAGGAGGTAGAAAGTAGGCATACAGGGATAGAATGTACTATGGCAATCGAAAAGTTGGCGCGTGTGCAACTGTAGGGAACAAAGGCCAACGCATTGGATTAGTCAATTAAAGGACATGTGACTGAAAATCGGGTAGTCTAGACCAAGCTGCTGCGATTACCTAGAGCATCAAGATACAATGTGAGAATCATCTTCGTTAAGAAAGTAATCCATGTATCGTACTAAGAGTGTGTGTAATCCTCAGTTAAAAATCTGAACGGATCGTGGCTATGAGTAGTAAGGACATTTGCACAGTGAAAAACACTCTACATTAGTCAGAGGTGAGGAACACCTCAGCTAATGTGGCGCAGTAGAAGAGTAATAACTGAAGACTGCACAGAAAGGCGAGTAAAAGGGAGTAAAAAGGGAATAAAAAATTTGATTTGACGGGAAAATGCCTTAGCTGATTGCGTAGAAAGGCGGTGGGTTCAGGAAGGGTATAAAAAGATTATCCGCTAACTTAAACCAGAAATCTATCGACAAAGACGGTCTCATGTAAAGTAACTGGTTGACTGACCAGTGCACATTGAGGATTCACGGCAAAACAGTGGCTAAAGTGGACTTACCACAAAGCATATCCTCAGTGATTTTCATCAGGTCCTCATAATCCGCATAAGCCATGTAAAATTCACAAATGGAAAACTCAGGGTTGTGGGTCAAGTCGATACCTTCATTACGAAAAACACGGCCGATTTCGTAAACCCGACTGAAACCGCCAACAACCAGCATTTTGTGGTAAAGCTCCGGAGAGACGCGTAGAAATAAGTTCATATTCAAGTCGTTGTGATGAGTGACGAACGGCTTTGCAGCGGCCCCACCAGGTAACACATTCATCATCGGTGTTTCCACCTGTATAGGAACAGGTAGTGAATGCCAAAAGGGATATGAAAACCGGTTCGTTGGTTATGTACAAAATAAAACAGTGGAGGGTAACAGCGAACACCAAACAGCAGTTATAACGAAAAGAATTTGAGTGATAAAGATTTACCTTACAGACCACCAGAACACGTGATTGTTTAACGCTAGCTATACTGCTTTAGGAGACGTTAAGCGTGCATCGCATTTAATTAGATGTGCAGGCATAATAAAAAGTAAAGGTCAACAGGAATGATTATCATGTACGTCGTTTGGTCGATTTCAAGTAGTGATAACAAGGGAGGGGAAGCATACCAAAAACTGGAACAGCGGTTGATGTGGGCTACACTGGGACAATTAGGAAACAAGTGCCGCTGCTTGTCGTACAGCTCGATTCATGAAACTTCGCAAGTGGCCAACACGGAAAAGATACTTCCCAGTTTAGGCAGATTTCTCGCGAACGAATAACTCTAAGCTCTGGACAAGAACACTAACGAGCAGGAAGCATCAGGATCGGTAAATTACCCGGGGAATCAAATCGGCAACAAAGGCTGGAAACATATATGGTACTGCAGATAGGTAAGAAAAATCTCCCTGATGTAGCAATGAAGGGTTTCAGAATGTCAAAAGTAGGAAAATGACTATCCGTGCAGAAATAAGGCCACTTAATCTGGTATGTGCCTACAAGCAAAGACGAAATTTGAGTGGAAAAGTAATTCTTAACAAGTGTAAAGATAACAGAGATTGGACAGGGCGCGGGGACAGAGATAATAATTTCCCTCAAGTTTTATCAGTTTACGTGCACCCTAGAATGTGCTTCTTCATTGGTTAGTTCATGGTGGTATTCGGTCGATTAGCTGTAGCTAAGTTGAGTTGAGCAAACGAGATCCGAGCAGAAAATTATGACGAGCCCAATTGCCCGCAAATACGATACCAAAATAATAATAAGATTTTCAGTAAATATAATTGGGGGAGTAGTTAAGCAACAATACCAATGAAAAAGACACAAGAGCGTCGCTGACTTCTTGAATACGTCATTTCCAAACCATAGCTATGGCAGATATCGAGACCTATCGTGTCAAGTCTCACAGTGAATTTGTTCAGTATTTGGAGCGCCGTTGACTAATCAATTCGGGTTCCTCCCGAGCCAATGCAATAATAGGTTAAGAACAAAAACACGCTACTCGCGACCACCGGTGGAGGCTTATGGTACCGGACCTAAAGCGTATAGCACACTCCCTTTGCTTCGAGTGGGGAAACGTTGGAGCAGTCTGCACGAATAAATGGTCTAGGCAAACTCGACGTGGGAATTCAAACAATTCCTAGACATCCATCCACTTTGCGGATCTCACATTTTGGGAGCACATCGCACCCGAATAGCTTATGGCGCATCTGTAATACGCTGCAAACGTACAGGAATCAGTGATGTGATTTCATGCACGCGCCCGACAAAACCATGATGAAGTAACACATATATCTACTAACTATCTACTCTCAGTATTCAGTTCTCTAGACGGTTCGAATACAAGTGCCCAAATGCGATACAAGAAAATTTGACGCAAAACATCACATGGTGGACATACATACTTAATTTAATGCGGCTAGCTCCTGAGACAGGATGAGCCGGCTTCATGAATGTCGCGAGTTGCAGCTGCCCCAGCGCGCCCCGATCGGTGACAAGCTCCAAGCAGATACTCATCCAATGATCTCTCCAGTGACGAAGACCATGCATAACATGGAGTCCCAGAAGATCGGCATCCGGTTTCACTGCAGCTAGCCACGTTTTCAATTGTCCACCACGGCGAGGACACCAACCCTAGCAAGGTGAGAGTGAAAGCAGGACCACAGTGAAGTCAGTGTCTGGTCTGCGGAGAACAAGACCGAACCATTGGAGTCTGCGGATGAGCGCAGAGAGCTTCGGGAGACAGAAACAACGCTTACGGATTTCGTCATTGGTGATACGCTCATGTCACTGCGTTTTCAAGATGAGCCTTAGACACCGGTGGCCTCGGATTGCAGTGGCCAAGAATCGCAACCATAGAGTAAGATGACATGAATGGTTGCTGAGAATACTCGAATTTTCGTTCTCAGGCTAATTTCCGTTCTTCGCCACAATGTGTTTCTCAGTTGTAAGAAGGCTGTTCCAGCGCTGTCAATACGATTCCGGATTTCGAATATAGCGTGACCATTGGGGAGAATAGTGGATCCAAAGAATTTGAATTAAGAAACAGATTCGATGAGTTGTCCATGTAAGGAGAATGACGAGGCGGGTTGGGTGGCTGGCGATGAGAAGTACTTCGTCTTGCTGATGTTAATTTCGAAGCCGAGCATAAAGGGTGATTGGTCGACTTGATTTAGCAGTGTCTGTAGTGATATAAGATTTGCTGCAAGGATAACGATATCGTCAGCAAACTCTGGGTCTGACATCCAGAAGTCAGAGTTAACTTAAACACCACGATAGCTCTCAAGGGCATGATACATAACCCAGTCGACTGCGAAGTTGAACAGCACTGGAGAAAGTGGACAAAGGTAGTATGGTCTTAGCAAGTTGTGTTTACCCGGCACGCCATCAGCAAGTAGGATTCTCCAGAGTGCTTCACGGTCAACTGAGTCAAAGGTAGCACGAAAATCAATGAAGCACACTAACGTGGGTTGTTAGAACTGGTAGCGGTGTTCGAGTAACCGACCTAGAATGTAGATTTAGTCAGTGCAGCCTATGCCTGGAGGAAAGTCGCCTTATTTATGGCGAGTTCGCATGTTCCTCTTATTGGCAAAGCGCGAGAGCAAGAAGCATGCGAAGGTTTTGGTAGCCACATCGATTAGACTAAACCCGCGGTAATTACTGCACACAGTTCGGAAAATTTTCTTGGGAAATGGCAGTAGCACTGAGGTACTTCAAGAAGAAGGAGAGATTTCGGTCTCCTATATCAAGCAGAAGCGCGCGTGCAAATGGTCAAGAAGAGCTGGTGGACAAGATTTGCAGATTTCCGCTGGAATCCAGTCCGCTCCAGGAGCTTTCTTTGTCTTCAGTCGACGAAAGGTGTCTGGAATTACTGAGGGAGATGGTGGTGAGCAATCCGCGTCATATTCTGACTGGATTAATGCTGAAATGGGTGCGGTGGCGTGTAGTGGGCGCTTTAAGATGTCGCTAAAATACTCTACCTATCTGGTAAGTTTCCCTTCGGTATCGGGGATAATTTGTCCATCCGAGTTTTGCAATATCGGCTGTGGTGAATAGCGCTCGCCGGAAGCTAAACGGAGGAGACGAAAAAGATAGCCCAAATTACAAGAATTTGACGCAGCTTCCATGTTGTCTGCGATAACAGACCAGTAGCGGTTGCGATCATTCCATGCTGAGCGGGTTGCCTCACGTATTAAGCGACGGTAGTCTGGAGAATTCGTGAGACGTGCTTCTCTCGCTTTAGCGGGCAACCGGATAGTAACTTCAGTTATCCAGTCCTTTACATGCTTAGAGGTAGAGCCCAGGGTAGATAAAGCAGCGCGTTGAACTGACGACTTTAGCCTAGATCAGCGGGCGACGACAGATTCATCTTCTGTAAGCACGAGGCATGATGCACTGGCAAAAATTTCTGCTTCTATTGTTGCCTCAAGTGATCGGCAGCAGTCAGTATTTTCCAGTCGGCCAATGTTGATACGCATTGGTGTAAGGGTGTTCCGGCGCGTTATCAAGCGGAGTCTGAATTCGGCGCGCAGTAGTACGTGGTCCGAACCACCTTTATTGACCCTGTGTACCCTCGACAGTCATCGATGGAGGGCATCTATCGAGATCGGACTAAGATGCAAGCTATATGGCTTGCTGTACGACCATCATTGGAGTGCCACGTCAAGAGATGCTTCCTAGGATGCTGGGACCGAGTATTGGCTATGCACAACCGGTTTAAGTCAGCAAAGCTGAGCAAGTGGTCTCCATTAGCACAGCGCTCTCCAAGTGCATATCTCTCGAGTATGTGACGGGTCTGATGGTTCCTCGGCCCGATTCATGTATCTCAGCCCCCAGCAATAATAAGGATGTCGCGTTTAGGAACATGGTTCACCACTGGCTGTAGAATATCGTAAAATTCGCTGACAGTAGAGTTGGTGCGTAGACAGAGATTATGGTCAGATTCATTGGGTGACGTTTGAAGCGAGCAACTGATATTTTGGCTGATACAGGCTTCTAGAAAAACAGAGCGTTGTGTGCGTGGCAACAAAGTCATGGCGACCCCATGATTGCCAGAATTATCCTCCGGCCCACTATAGTAAAGCCAAGATGATGTGTCTACATTAAGGACTTTGAATTGTCGAGAACCACAGCCGGGTATTCGAGATTCTGGCAGGCGTGCTACGTCGATCTGGTAGTCATGTAGTGTGCGCATGGTCAACGCTTCGCTGCCGACATCCAACAGGGTTCTGACATTCTAGCATCCAATGAATAATGATTTCCGGGGATTGAGGGACCCAGCTAGCTTACTCGTCACTCTGGCCACTGCGTTAGCGCAGAGGGCGTCGCCTATCGGGAACTCCGTAGTATGAGAAGAATCGCGGGTAACAGACATGTCATGAAATTTCGTGAGGATTATGAGTATATATGAGCACCCTAACCCCACCCGGCTTTTGTTTGAGGGTTTACCTTTAGCCTTTACACAGCCAAGTGTTACTTGCAAGGCAGCAGATATCTGAGAAATTAAGTTAACTTTAGGCCGTTGGATCAGGAGTCGAACTCTTCCACCCAGTTGTCAGGACTGAGGTTGCACGCGGGTACGAACTCAAGGAGAACAGTGTTCCCGGCTACCCTCACCCGGTTCAGCTCGTCTGCCTGACGGATGACCGGGGTGTGGCCGCTGTAGCGTGCAAGCAGCTTCTTGGAGCCACAAGTGAGAGCTGGGTGACAGGTGGAGACCAAAGATAGGCGGACTACTCCTGAGGGTAAGGCAGGTCACCTACCAGAGATGCTAGTTCTCCCTGAGACCCCGGACACCCAAAGTGCAGTACAA